GATATTCAGGGGCAGATAAAAAATTGGAGTAGTAGGCTATATTTACATGGCAGCCGTCTTCTTGTGATGTCATGCTGTGTGTGGAAAGCTTGTATATTGTCATGTATTCTTATTTTATCTAATAATATACAGCAAAAAAGAGAGAAACTGAGGAGAATCAGGAGAATTTTGGGCCATATTTTAAGTAAACAAAACGTATATTACAGCCCATCAGTCAATCAGTATGCAGCTCGTATTAGCATTCGGCCATTTTCTAGTCAACAGTATCGTTTTGAAATCTTTGATACAAGTGAAATGGAGAGGAGCTTGAGTCTAAGTTTCATTTGTTGCTAGCAATTCTCTGTTTTTGTTAGCTCTCAAATAATATACTCACAACACTTTATGGTGTCTTATCATTGTGGGCAATTAACCCAGCAGTCAGTTATTGTGTTGTTTTCATATTTAATTGAGTCTGCAAGTGTATTTATTTGCAGAAAATGGAGTTTGTACTAGTAGGATTTCAAATCTCCTCTTAGTAAGGGAAAAATATCAAAATCTGGCAACTAAATCGTTACTAAACAATTTCTTCACCAATTTGTTTGTAAAGGTGTGTAATAACATGCCTTAAAATGTTGAAGTTCAACTCCCGTGGGAAACCTTAAAAAACCCTGCTCAAGTGAGGGTACCGATAACCGATTGATGAAAAATCGATTTTTAAAAATCTGGCCTTAAGGAACTGATGAGGGGTCAAATCCGGGTTTTTTCATGATTCTGAGTTGATTGTTAACATTTGTATTTCACCACAAACACTTCTTTGTTGAAAAAGGCCACACTCACTTTTACATTTACATTCACAGCAGCTTATATTTCACATCCTTATACACTGCTCAGAAAATACAGGGAACACTAAAATAACACATCCTAGATCTCAATGAATGAAATATTCAAGTTGAAAATCTTTATTAATTACATGGTGGAATGTGTTGAGAGCAAAATAACATAAAAATGATCAATGTAAATCTAAATTATTATCCCATGGAGGTCTGGATGTGGAGTGAGGTGGCGGATGTTCTCTTGAGGGATCTCCTCCCAGACCAGGGGCCTCATGTACAGAGGGTGTGTACGCACAAACACTTGGCATACGCACTTTTCCAGGCTCACGTTCAGATGTATCAAGAGTGAAATTATCGTGGAAATGTGCAGTCCTCCATGTCAACTCCTTGACCGGTGTACGCACGTTTCTATTGCTTTGAGCCGTTGGCAACACATGGAGGTGATGCTGGGATTGTAAAAATGTAAAAAATAATGTAAAAAAAGGTCTGTTACAGACTGGTTCAAAGACTCATGCGCGAGGCAACACGACACAGCAGACAGGTGGTTGGAAACAACAATAGTTTATTGGTACACACAGGAAAAAGTACAGAACTTAAAGAGATTTGCTGGCAAGGCAAACTATGTCTATAGTGACCGAACTAAACAAAAAACTAAAGACAGGTACCACCGAGTCGGGAACCGAGAAACCAAAACTAGATTACACAAAAAGGAACAACTAAAGGAAGACACCAAAAGGTGCTAACGAGGAGACTCAATAAAAAACAGAAAAGGCTAGCAAACCAAAAAGCTATCTAATAAGCTAGCGCTACGCACAGACGGGCTAAATGCAAAACGGGAATATACAAAAACAGAAAAGGCTAGCAGACAAAAGGCTATCTAAAAGCTACAAGCTAAAAGTTGCTCCATATTCTGTGCAGCTTTCAGAAGAGCAGTTCTGGCCCAGTTCCATGTTCTCCGACACTTCCGCATGAATGCCTGCATAGACGGGACGGCGACCTCTCGTTCCAGGGCTGGGAAGAGTGGCGGCTGGTAGCCCAGGGAGCACTGGAACGGAGAGACTCCAGAAGAGGCGTTAGACATAGAATTGTGGGCATACTCTACCCAGGGCAACTGGTCACTCCATGTCGTCGGGTCCCTTGAAACCACGCAGCGCAGAAACGTCTCCAAAGACTGATTGGTCCTCTCAGTCTGTCCATTGTACTGAGGATGGAAGCCAGAGGTAAGGCTCACCTTGGCTCCAATCGCCAAACAGAAAGCCTTCCATACTTCAGAGGTGAACTGGGGACCCCGATCTGACACTACGTCGGTGGGTATCCCGTGGAGACGAAGCACGTGGATGACGAGCAGGTCAGCAGTCTCCCGGGCCGAGGGAAGCTTGGGCAGGGCAACAAAATGAGCAGTTTTAGAGAAACGGTCTACAACAGTCAAAATAACCAAGTTACCCTGGGAAACCAGGAGACCGGTAACAAAATCCACCGCAATGTGGGACCATGGACGGTGAGGGATGGGCAACGGCTGGAGCAGTCCGGAGCTGGGTTGGTTCGAGGTCTTGTTGGCGGCGCAGGTGGAACAGGCCGCAATGAAGCTCCGGGTGTCCCTTTCCAGCGTTGGCCAGCAGAACCTTCGCCGTAAAACCTCAATGGTGCGTGAGGATCCGGGGTGACAGGTTAGCCGGGAGGAGTGAGCCCACTGAAGGACCCGGGAGCGAACAGAATCAGGGACGAACAGACGGTTAACAGGACCGTTACCTGGACCGGGTTCCTGTTCATGAGCCCGACGCACCAGAGCCTCCACTTCCCATGTGAGGGAAGCCACCACACAAGACGAAGGTAGGATGGCCTCCGGCGCTTCCTCGGGTTCGCAGACTGAAAACTGTCGGGACAGGGCGTCGGGTTTGATATTTCTGGACCCAGGGCGGTAGGTAAGTGAGACATTGAACCGCCCAAACAACAGGGTCCAACGGGCCTGACGGGCATTAACCCTCTTGGCAGATCGGACGTACTCCAGATTTCGATGGTCTGTCCACACGATGAACGGCTGTTCTGCTCCCTCCAGCCAGTGCCGTCATTCCTCCAGGGCCAACTTTACCGCCAGCAACTCCCGATTACCGACGTTGTAATTTCTCTCCGCGGGGGACAGCCGGCGGGAGAAAAGGGCACAGGGGTGCAACTTCTGGTCTGTGGATGACCTTTGAGATAGGACTGCCCCAACTCCAGTGTCTGAGGCGTCTACCTCCACGATAAACTGGAGGCTGGGGTCTGGCTGGACCAGGATGGGGGCAGAAATGAACCGCTGCTTGAGGGCTTGGAAAGCTTGCTTGGCCTCATGGGTCCAGGTGAAATCCTTCTTTACCGAAGTGAGGGAGGTCAAAGGAGCGGCGACTTTACTGAAATTCCTGATGAATCTCCGGTAGAAGTTGGCAAACCCGAGGAACCTCTGAAGCTGCTTACGAGTCTCCGGAACGGGCCAGTCGCGGACAGCTGACAGCTTTTTCGGATCCATCTCTATTTGTCCTGCCGAAATAATGTAGCCGAGAAAAGATGCCGTCGATGCGTGGAACTCGCACTTCTCAGCTTTTACGAAAAGGCGGTTTTTCAGGAGCCTCTCGAGGACTAGACGGACATGTTGCTGATGTTCCTCAGGGTTCTAGGAATAGATGAGGATGTCATCGAGGTAAACAAAGACAAAACGGTTGATCATGTCGCGCAGTACATCGTTGATTAGGTTCTGGAAATCTGCCGGGGCATTGGTTAAGCTAAAAGGCATAACCAAGTATTCGAAGTGCCCCAATGGTGTGTTGAAGGCAGTCTTCCATTCATCACCCTGGCGGATCCGGATCAGATGGTAGGCGTTCCGTAAGTCCAACTTGGTAAAAATGGTGGCGCCGTGCAGGGGGTTGAAAGCTGAGTCTAACAGGGGTAGCGAGTACTTGTTTTTAACGGTGATGTCATTTACTCCTCGTAAATCGATGCAAGGGCGCAGGGTTCCATCCTTCTTGTCCACAAAAAAGAAGCCAGCTCCGACAGGGGATGAAGATGGACGGATGATTCCAGCTGCCAAGGAGTCGCGGATGTAGGTCTCCATGGCCTGCTGCTCAGGTTTGGACAAATTGTACAGACGACTAGATGGCAGGGATGCTCCAGGAAGCAGGTCGATGGCGCAATCATATGGGCGATGTGCAGGCAAAGAAAGGGCATCCTCCTTTCTGAACACCGCAGCCAGGTCATGATAGGCCTGGGGAATGTTCTCCAATGAGACGGCTTTAGGTACCGTCGAGTCTCTGGAGGATGCAGGGGTCAGGGCGGAGCGCAGACAGGTCTCATGGCAGCGGGGAGCCCAGGACAGAATCCGGCCCCCCTGCCAGTCAATATGGGGGTTGTGTAGCCGCAACCAGGGGAAACCCAGGATGACAGGAGCGCTGGACTGATTAAACATAAAAAAGGAGATGGTTTCCTGATGATTTCCGGCCAGAACCACCGAGACTGGGACGGTGCGGTGCCGAATCATGGCAGTTGGGTACCGTTGAGACCCCAAACTTCCAAGGGAGCCTCCAGGGGTGTGCTGTTGATCCCGAGCTGCTCTGCTAATTGGTGATCCAGGAAGTTTTCTTCGGCTCCAGAGTCGACCAGGGCTTGGATGGTGAGGGACTGAGACGGAAGGCACAGGGTAACTGGCAGCGGTAAACGTTGTGGGGAGGTCATGGTGGTTCGGCTCACCAGTATTTCCCCGACTACTGGTGAGCCTGTCCTTTTCCTGGCCGTAGCGGACAGGTGGCAATGAAGTGCCCTGGTTTGCCACAATACAGACAGGCATTGGCATCTCGACATCGCTGTTTTTCCTGGGGGGACAGACGGGTGTGACCCACCTGCATGGGTTCCAAATCCCCTTGAGATTTGGGAGGTGGGCTACTCGACGGGCATGGAGTGGGGCGCTCTCTCACCGAGTCCAAACGTTGGCCCTTCTCTCGCCGTCTTTCTCTCAGCCGATTATCGATCTTGATGGAGAGGGCAATGAGCTGGTCAAGACTTGAGGTGTCGTCGCGGACGGCCAACTCATCCTTGATGGAATCCTGTAAGGCAGCATAAAATACTCCTTGAAGGGATTCATCATTCCACCCACTCCCAGCTGCTAAAGTCCGGAAGTGAATGGCGAAATCAGCCAAAGTAGTGGTCTGGTCGTGGCTTAAATGCTGGTCTCATGATGAGACCAGCTCACGCCCACCTAGTTAAAGGAAAGGGAGAGAGAGAAAGGAGGAAAGAAGGGAGAGAGAGAGAAAGAAGACTGCCGCTACCTGGCCCTAGTGGCAGCGGGCGTGACAAGGTCATTCCTCAAAGTGATATGCACATCAGAGACACTTAGATGAACAATTAACACACCCAGGTGTTTGCAATCAGATGAGCGGATATAACAGTGTGTGTAAAACGGTGCAGAAGATACCATTAACAACAATGGCAGCGTTGGACCTGTTGGAGGATATTACCAATGGAGCAGTGCGAAGAGAACAGGTTTTCGGAGACCGAGAGAATTTTTTGGCTCAGGATCGTCCTGAGTCAAAAAATCCTCTCGGTCCACGAAAACCCGACTGGCTCATCAGCCGCTTTAGGTTCCTGAGGGCAATCCTCTTAGAACTGTGCGCGGAGCTGCGGCCAGTATTGGAGAGCAACACGGCCAGGAGTCATGTCCTACCTGTGCCGACACAGGTGCTGACCACACTTGGCACCACAGGGTCATTTCAGAGAGAGCTGGACGACCGATCGGGACTGTGCCAGTCGACATTGAGCCGAGCTGTGTGGGGTGGAACTATCCGAATGTCAGCCAGGTACATCAAGCTCCCACACCGCAGTTGAACAAGACGACATAAAAGTGCAATTTGTAGCGACGGCCGGTTTTCCTGATGTAATCGGAGCTATCGACTGCACACACATTGCTATAAAGGCACCATCACTAGATGGATGTGTTTATGTAAACAGGAAGCATTTTCATTCAGTCAATGTACGATCATCTGTGATGCGCAAATACATTTAAGTAACTTTGTTACGAGGTGGCCTGAATCAAAACACAACTCATTCATTCTGACCAACAGCGTAGTTGGGAACAGGCGAGAAGCTGGCACGGTGCGGGATGGGTGGCTTCTTGGTGAGTAAATAATTGAATTGTCTTAATATTAATCCCTCTGGCACGCGTCAAGCATGTGCGCCCCAGACAGGCATCAGCAGGTGGCTGTTGCAGCGGACTGGAGGATCGGCTGGAGGAATCCAGGTCTGTGACATGAGGCTGGGACTGCGTCTCACAGTCTTCTCCAGCCTCATTGTCTGTTGGAAAATAATAAATTGAGTAATTGGACATGAGACAAAGTCTTTGATTTCCTCTTTGATATTCTGGCAAGATTACGCAAGAACCTGTATGTTGTTTGGCTTTGAGCAGATTATTATATGACCCGTATAATGAATAAATCTGTGAGTTACACAATATATATTTACCTTGGAGGTCGGGGGTTCTGAGTGACCTACGTGTGCTCCCACCACCCCTGTGACAGCAGTGTCACCCACAATAGCGACGACTCTCTACTCAAACGGGCTGAGTTCATCCTGGTTACTGTTATCTGATCATACAGAGAGGGGAATCTCACCTGTCGGCCCTGTTTATACCAATTTGCATATTTAAATTGGGGCCGTGGAGAGGGAGGGGTCTGATACTNAAACAGCTGCATTGAGGGTCACTGATTTGGGGAAATAAACATCAATTTACACGATTAACTTTTTTCCCTGCTCTTATCTCAACCAGTTGAGGCTGATGACTGCCTTCCCTGAGCCTGGTTCTGTCTGAAGTTTTTTTTTCTTCCTCCCTGTTATAGTTATTATTATTTTCTTTTGGTTCCTTTCCACCATTGCCAGCTGCTTACTCAGGAAATCCAGTTCTTTGTTTAAAATTCGTAAGGTATTCACCGTACTATGTGAAGCGCTATGAGTTGACATATGTTGTGAATTGGCGCCATATAAATAAAACTGAATTGAAATTCGTCTTTTGCGTCATTTGCAGCACCAGTGTTTCTTTTTTATTGTCAGACATTTTTATATTCTTCACTGCCCTCCTTCATAACAACCTGAGTCTTTTCTACTACCAATAAAAGTTTGCTTGGACATAAAGTTTCTCAGTTTGTTTATAAGATGCCAGATGAAGGATTTAGCCACATGTTTCATGTGTACTGAAATTTAGACCCTTATCAGTGATGCACACAAAGATTCTTGACCTTTTTAGTGCCCTAAACTCAAAGTAAGTGTCATTAAAAAGCGCCACAAAAGTAAAATTGTAAATTAAAATACAAGATTTTTAAAATGAGAAATGACCAGAAAAATGTTTATTTGCCATAAACTACAATTAAAATCTCTTTTAGTTATTCTCATCGGCGCCATTTTCTTCTTCGCCTGCGCAGAAAGACGAACTGCGCAGGAGCAGCGCTCGCGAACACACTCCAGTGACGTGGACTGTTTACCGTGTCCGGAAGTGCCGTGGCTTCTTGGTCAGCTCGGATGCTTTATCTCCTCATTCCGGACCTTTTCTTTCATTTTCATCAACTGTGATTAAAATGTTGGGTATTTTCTTGCTCTAACGAGGCGCCCACATGTTTTTCCTTGAGGCACGCCGGACACAGAGGACCAACGAAGCCGGAAACTTTGGATTAAATCCCATCTGGCATGCTGTTTAGCTAGCCGGCTAACAGGCTAAGAAGGCTGGCAGCTGACTGCAGCTTTCTGATTGTGTCCAGATTAGTTTGAAAACCACCACAGGAGGATGAATAAGAGACAGAATCAGCTTGTTTATATCCTCCAGCGGTTTGTTGTCACTGTTCTGGCAACAGTGATGTAAAGGATTTTGGGAGCATAAATACTGTAGCTGAAGTTTTTGGGGCTTGAAAATGGAGGATAAATACAGCAGCAACGTCCTGTCAGGGGGGAAGCTGGGCATGGTGGAAGTACCTGATTCCAGGTAGCTTTCTGTTCTTGTGCTTAAGTTAATCTCATGTGATTTAGTCAGTCAAGTCTTATTGCTGTAGCTGTAGGTCCATGTGTGGCAGTTTACTGATTTAGATCCACAGCAGCAGCTAAAACGTTGTTTGGGCTTCTTCAGTGTCACTACTGAGTGTTTTGTTAGTTTGTTGCTCAGTTGTTTTAGTGTCTAAATGTCCACAACAGTTAAAATCACAGTTACCCAGTACCCAAGCACTTTATTCTATTGCTTGTGTCCAATAGACGCTACTAATCTTCACATTTGAGCAGCTAGAATGAGTGACTGGCCATTTTTGCTTGATAATGATTAGTTTTTTTAATCAGTTGTGGTAATCAATATCAGCTGATAAGTTGGTTAACTGGCTCATAATTTTAACGCTTCCCACAAAAACTGCTTCTGGATGCAAACTGTATGGAAAACCTTAAATTTGCCTATACGTCGTTATGATAAGTGATGTTTGTTTTTCCTGTGTCACCCACACAAATGCTGATGGATTGTTTTCTTTGTCTTTTCCTTCTGCAGATTAACCAGGTACATCGTTTTACTGATCATCTCAAAGGTCCTCAAAGCTCTCGGGATCTTTGAGTCGTACGACATCCTCAAAGTTGTTCACGTAGTTCAGTTTATCTTCGTATTGAAATTAGGGTAAGTGCTACGACTTTCATTACGTGCAGTAGTTTAATTTAATCTATTACGTTTGAATGAACGGATGTGACTACATATCAGTCCTTGTCTCCTTTTGTAGGAGTGCTGTTATTCTCCTTTTCTTTCAAAAGCCTTTTTCATCTGGAAAAGTCATCTCAAAAAGACAGGTCTGTTGGATTGCGTCAGTGTGTTTTTCTTTTCTTTTTTTTTTTTTTTTTACTTCTCTGGTTCTTAACTTTATGTGCCAGCTCACCTTCATTCAACAGCAGTGCCACGTGTATGTTTGTTCAATCTTCTGCCAACCTCTGACTGTTCTTCTGTTGTCTCCAGAACTTAAAATATTTAACATTTAATTTTGTGAAAGTAAAATACACATTCATACACTGTTCAAATGTTCCTTTAAGGCCACAATGTCAACCTGCATGATGGATAATCTGATTCCTTTTTAATCTCTTTTTCCTCGTAGTGGATAAAGTTACTAAAGCACGCTGTTTTCAGCTGTGTCATATCCCTCCTGGGCTTCTTTGGTCTGACTCTCTGTGGACCTCTAAGGTAAAATATCCTGCTGTTCTCCTATCAGCTGAATGCAACAGCACTTTATGTGAGAATATTTGTGTGCTTTTAGCTGTGAGTGTTTGCATTCTGAATGTAAATCTGAGTTGTGTCTTTCTCAGGACGTTATTGCTTTTTGAGCACAGCGATGTGGTGGTCATCGCTCTCCTCGGCGTCCTGTTCACAAACTCAGGAGGCGGACCATCCAAGGTAAGAGGCTACACATTCACACGCCTGGTTTGAATTCATACAAGTATTTTACACTGAATAGATTATGAATGTTTTGTAGTTTTAAGTAACTTTGGTTTTGCTGTCGGCACACTTTACCTCAAAAACAATATTTAAACTGATTTTTTGTTTTATTTGCTGATGTTTGAAGTCCAGTTCACTTCACTAAAACAGTTTCTGTTTCATTTCCTCTGTGGTAAAGTAAAAAACCCACAGTCAGGGTCTGTTATTATGTATTATTATGACATTTATAATAACCCACAGAGCTTTTGGATATTAACTGAACCTGTTTGAAAAAGAAAACAGATGCAAACTTTAAAATTAAGACCCCACAGTAGTGGCATTTTTGGTATTTTAAGTTTCAGTTTTACCTCCAGATAAACCAGTTTAAGCAGTCAGACTACTGTGCAACTTGTCTGATTGTCAGAGATAAGTTTTGTGAGTTGAAATTCATCAGAACTGCTAGAAATGATGAGTAACCCAGGAAGTAAGATTGAAGTTGTGATCAACCAGAATTCTTATCAGAGAGCAAGTTTTTAAATTTGGTTACCTCATAGACGAAAACAGTGTATTTAAGTGGAGAAAAAGACTCCAGATATTGTAAAGAGTGTAACTGAAACATTTGAAATAGTTTTAACCAGACAGTGGAGGTTACACTGCTTTACCAGGAGGTTATGTTGACAGTGTCTGAAATGAAATGACTGTACTATAATACTGTGGATGTGGTTTGTAAAATGCTTTTCTGTTGGTTTGTCTCAGACCAGAGGTGCTGCTTTCTTCATCATCGCCGTGATCTGCCTCCTCCTCTTCGACAACGACGATCTGATGGCGAAGATGGCCGAGCACCGTATCCTTTGAGCGCAACAGTTTGTCTGTTTTTACTGTTTGTTGACCTGATCTGTTATAATTATCGTGTGTCTCTGTTGTGCGTTTGCCTTGACTCATCCTGTAACCAGCTGAGGGACACCATGACAGCGCGCTCACTCATTTCCTCTACACTGCCATTGCGTTTTTAGGGGTTGCAGATCATAAAGTAAGTCCACGGTTCACCTTAAAATTTTCTGTTTCTTGCTGTCTGCAAAAGTTCAGTGAAGTAAAAACAAACACCCTTTGTCCTCCCGTTCTTGTCAGGGTGGTGTGGTGCTGCTGGTGGCCTCCTTGTGTCTGAAAGTCGGCTTCCACACAGCGTCCAGAAAGTTATCAGTGGAAATTGGTGGTGCCAAGCGGCTCTACGCCCTCGACAACCTGGTTTCTGCGGTGGTGCTGCTGCCCTGGGTCATAGTGCTGTCAGCGACCACGGAGGTCAGTGATGACAGACCATGTGACAGAATTAGAAATCTGTGACCTCTTCAAGTAACATTCTTCACAACGTTGTTTGAATGTGGTGTTAAATGAGTGAAATTAGCAAATAAAAATTCTAAATTACACTAAGCTCCACCTAAATTAACTCTCTGAATCCCAAAAACCTGACTGCAGGTTGAGAAATGGATGTTTTTTTATTTGACAAAAAAAAATCCCCATTTATGAGAGTCAGAAACGGTAAAAACTAAAAGAATCACTGGATTTTAAGCTTTCCACCGGTCGTTCAACTTCTCTCACTTTCAGTTTTATCTGGAAAAACACATTAAGCCTAGAATTATGAGATGTTTCACCCAAATCACCTATTATTCATGTCTCACATTAAAAAAAAATGCCAAAAATGAGCTGGTTGCAGTAATCAGATTATGTAAAAAACAAATAATTCTGCGCTCAGCTGTGACCAACAGTCAAGTGACAGAAATTTAGCTGAACTGCAGGCAGTGTTTACACAGAGCAGAGAGGAGACAATCACAGAAACAAACTGAAAATACAAGTAGTGAAATATCTATAGTACATAGAGCCACTGTTTTTTTTCCAGTATTGGAAAAACAGTTGTTACAACTGTGGGCACTTGGAAAAATGTTGTACATGTTGATTTAATTTCTTTTGTTATGATTTAAGGCATATAACTGTATCATATTGCACAAAAGACAGGTTCTCTTTACTTCTAGTCATGGTTGTCCTGTTTGCATAGAGGTGCAGGACTTTATATAGCAGTGAACAGCGAATTAAAATGTGACAGGAGCAAAAAACACCCCAAAACTGCTTAGGTTTAAAGACCTAAACGTAAAACTTTTTGTTATTTTAACTTTCATCTCTGCCCCTTGACCTTTAATCTGACCTCTGATCACTATTCATCCACTCGCTCTCCACCTCAGAGCAAAGTGGAGTCGTGGTCGTCCCTCGTCCTGCCCTTCGGGATGATCATCTTCTCCGTCATGATCCTGGAGTTTTACGTCGAGGCCATCTGCTGCGCCAAGATGGAGACGCCGCGGTGCGCCCGTTATGGCGCCATCGCCCTCTTCCTCAGCGCCCTGCTGCTGGCCAACTTCTGGACTCACCCGCTGACCGACCAGCTCCGCTCCATGAGCAAACCGCCCCAGCAGGTCAGCACTGAGCACGTGCTGTCTGGTGGGGTGCTGGTCAGCGCCATCTTCTTCATCATGTGTAAGTAACACAGCCAGCACAACGCTTTACTTTCTTAGATTCAACAGAAAAAAATGAACTGCAGAGCGAGACCAGGAGGGTTTGGATACATTCATGACATCAGAACAAACAAATACTGCTTGATTCGACTTTATTAGACAGCGTGAGATTCACCTTGACATCTCGTTTTGCAGCGTCCTGTATTCTCTCGTCTCCCTGTTACATTTTTACCTTTAATCCTGAGACGTTTGAAATTGAAATGAGGGCCTGGTAGTAGAGTTTTTTTCCATTTTCCATTGCACATAAAAAGAAATGGTCTGCCTCATTCCTTGTCTCAAAGCAGGACAAAGTCAACAAACTCAAAGCGCCGCTCAACCAGTACACCAGTGTGGAAACCGTTTTATGTTTCTCTGGTTTTCCAGCTTGATAGAAATAAACCTTGACGTCGGTATTATCTCGGTTTATAAATGTTTAACAGAAAGCCTGTGCGGAGTTTGAGCATTATCCAACAGGGAGGATTTATTGGAAAGATCTATCACCGTTTATTTAGCGTTATTGGAACTCTATGATCCACTTTGAGGAGCTCAAAAGTCAGCCTCTGCAGCATCAGTGTTGTCCAGACTTTTCTTTCATCCAGTCAAATGGATGCGTTTTACTGAAACAGTCCATGTTATGCTCATTTTCAGGTTCATCACTTCAGTTTTGGAGTCGACTAGGATTATTTAAATGCGTTAGTCTTCAATAGAAACATTATTGTAGCACCATTTTTCACCATCTGTTTTAGCTCCTGTCTCTTTAAGGAACCTAAAAGCCCAGTTTAACCAGAATTAAACCTGCTATGTTACACAATGCACAGTGTTTTCATGCTCTGGCCTCCTGACATGCAACCAAAGCTGTGAGATTAACCTTAATATCTATATCTATAGCCTATTTTTTGTTTTTCTCTCTACAGCCTCCAGTATTCTCTCGTCTCCATCGAAGAAAGGTCAGAAGGGCACCTTGGTGGGTTACTCCCCTGAAGGGACGCCGCTGTACAACTTCATGGGCGACGCCCTGCAGCACACGTCACAGTCCCTCCCGCGGTTCATCAAAGATTCCCTGAAGCAGATCCTGGAGGAGTACGACTCCAGACAGATCTTCTACTTCCTTTGTCTCAACCTGGTAAGTCAGGTGGAAGGAGCAAATCCTATTATTCTGATTTCATTCCAAATTTGTCAAATTTGTAAAAAAAAAAAACAAAAAAAGAAATACAACACCAACAAAGCACAGGATGGATTCTTAGAGGTACAATGGTGTTGATGGGAAAAATGACAACAACATGACAAAGTAGCGCTTAAAGAAACTGCAGTTCTGCATTTACAGTCTATAAATGTCAACTATTTAATAGAGATTTAGAATCTATTGCAGGGACATCGGCCGTAAATGTTCCTTCTCTCCTATAAGACCGTAATGATGCTCGTGTTTAAAGATGAAATCATAAGAAATCTTGACAGTGAGGGTCATAGCTGCCACTGAGGCTGTGATGGTTTTTGCTTTGCTTATTGTTTCTGGGTAGAAAGAATGTTTTGTGTTCTGTAGTTGCACAAAAGTTGTGCAAGGTGGCTTTTAAAAGTTGATGTTTCTGCTGTTTTATTAACGTGATTTAAATTTGACAGCTTCTGTAAATATATTAGAGACACAAAATTTATTTAAATCACAGATGAGATAACAGTTTATCGTCCAACAGCCACTTTTTCTTTAAATACATCTCACAATGTACTCGTGCACACACACAATGCAAACCTCACATTCACAGACTGCCTTCATGTTAAAATACACACATTCAGATTATCATAACAGGAAACAAATTAAAATAATTTAATTTCAGATGCTAATTAAATGTTAACGCCATCTTTTCTCGACTTGGGTTGGTGTTTAAAGTTTGTTCTGACCTCACGTGTTCTGTTTTTATCCTTTTACGACTTGTTGCTCTGCGTTTTTCAGGCTTTCACCTTTGTGGAGCTGTTTTACGGCGTTTGGACCAACAGTCTCGGATTAATCTCTGATGGCTTCCACATGCTGTTCGACTGCTCTGCTTTGGTCCTGGGCCTGTTCGCTGCCCTCATGACCCGCTGGAAAGCCACTAGGATCTTCTCCTACGGGTAAAATCCATCCAGAAGGAGGAATGATGGTATAATTCATTTCAGGTTCAGCTGGATGTCTAAAAATAGAAACTGTTGTTTTGCAGGTACGGTCGAGTTGAAATACTGTCTGGATTCATCAACGGCCTGTTTCTGATGGTCATCGCTTTCTTCGTCTTTATGGAGTCGGTCACGCGTTTGTTGGATCCTCCGAACATCAACACAGACATGCTGACGGTGAGTAAACTACAACATTGTGTAAAGGATTTATTCCCACATATTTCCATTTTCCTGCGTAATACAGCTGCACATTGCACACACGAACAAAAGATCTGCCGCATTACTTGTCCTTAAATGCAAAATAAACGGGATAAAAGGAGAAAGTCAACCAGTAAGTCAGCGGTTGTACAATGTTTTATGTGGCTCTGTGAGGAGCTTTTTCCAGTTCGATATAAATAAACCTTGGCGTCAGTATTATCTTGGTTTGTAAATGTTTAACAGAAAGCTGGTGCTAAGTTTAACAGAGCGTTTTCAGAGAGGGAGGAATAAATGGAAAGATGCTATCTCACACCTCTTGTTTAGCATATTGGAACTCAGTCAGGAGATCTCAGTTTAACCATTCTTTACTTTTCCCTTTCATCCAGTCAAATAGATGCTCTGTACTTAAAGAGCCCTTATAAATCCTATTTACAGACGTACTTTTTCATTTTTGGACTCTACTAGAATAGATTTACACAATTTAATCTTCAAAAAACACACACAAATAATAAACTACACTAAATGTGATGTCTTTTCTGGCCCTAGGGATGAATTTTGTTCTGATTTATTTTGGAACATTTTATTACCCAGGGCGTCCCTGATGATATTACATTTGGAATATTGGGATACCGGTAATCAAAGCTAGTGATAGAAGGATTATCGGTCATGCCAATTACTGCGGCCGATATTTGGCATTTTTCTCATTGTAGTTTGATTATCGCTTCTTTTTTTGGTTGATTATCAATAAATGCGCTGCTTCAGGTGTGATGCAGCCTCCTCTCTCTGTCTGTCGTCACTCTGTGGTCTCAGAAATGTCTCTCAAAAACTAAACAAGAAACACAAACCAGGACATTAGCTCTTTGCACAGTGGCTACGACTACACTAACAGCTAGTGGCTAAGATAAGAGGCAGCCACAGATTAGCCTGAAACAGAGTCTGGAAAACAATAATTATTAATGCTTTAAGATCATAGTGAGCAAAAAAAGTGACAGAACAGTGAAAGATTAAGAAAATGGAGAAGAACAGCAGATGTAACTGCAGGAGATTAATCTCAGTCGATACCACACAAACAGAGGAGAGCGTCTCATTTCTGTTTTATTTATTCAGTTGGGGATGCACAGTGGATCAGTGGTTAGCACCGTCGTCTCACAGCTAAGAGATGTCCGGCTTGAGTCCCGGTTAGGACGCCTGGGATCTTTCTGCGTGGAGTTAGCATTTCTACAGTGCAGCATGGGTTCTCTCCGGGTTCTCCGGCTTCCTCCCACAGTCCAAAAACATGCTGAGGTTAATTGGTGATTCCCCGTGACCCTAATGAGGATTAAGCAGTGTATAGATAATGGATGGATGGATATTCAGTTATAGTAACTCTTCTTAATGAAGAAGCCTAGTTATGAATGACAGGCTCTCTGCTATCTTATGCTGGTACATTTATAATCTATTTGGTTGCAAGTGTCGGTTATTGGCTTTTCTTAATTACCAAGAAACGTCGTTGGTATCGGCCCTGGAAAACCCATATCAGTCGATCCCTGGTCAAAGCTTTAACTCTCATGTCTTGTCTTCTGCAGCCGGTGTCAGTCGGAGGTTTGCTGGTCAACCTGGTGGGAATCTGCGCCTTCAGTCACGCTCACTCACACGGCAGCAAAAGCTGCTCGTCACATGACCACGGTCACTCGCATCACGGCCACTCCCACAGCGAGCACGGCCACGGAGGCCACGGGCACTCTCACGGAGGACATGGACATGGTGGACATGGACACGGCAGCCACGGACACGGCGGACACGGACACTCCCACGGCTCAGGAAGCGGCGGCATGAACGCCAACATGAGAGGTTTGTGTTTAAGTCGCTGCACAGAAAGAAAGTCTGTGTGCAGAAAGTCACAGCCACATGAAACCCTCCTGTTTTCTGTCCAGGTGTCTTCCTCCACGTCCTCGCCGACACTCTGGGCAGCGTCGGCGTCATCATCTCCACCATCCTCATCCGGCAGTTCGGGTGGCTGATCGCCGACCCCATCTGCTCGCTCTTCATCGCCACGCTCATCTTCCTCAGCGTCATCCCTCTGCTGAAGGACGCCTGCGAGGTTCTTCTCCTGCGAACTCCACCGGAAAACGAGAAGGACCTGAACAGTGCGCTAGAAAAGGTAAACGGTGAACATAACGAGGACAAACTTAATCCAGATTTCGTTGACAGATACTGCTCATTAAAATAACTGCATATCTATTACAGGAATACGCACACATTAGGGGAAATGTGTTTTCTCTTTTTACATAATTTGAGCGAATGATGGCAGATTTTCCATCGTTACGTATTGATTACGTTTTAAATTAGTTGCATGTGAAGCTTTTTACCTCCACTGGTGAGATTGTGTTGTGGAGGTCTGTTTCTTTGATGGCATGTTTACTCCAAAACAACACGACAGATGATTTTAATTTGGTTGAAAGTTTAACTATGAGCTAAGGAACGCTTCTTTTAAAGCATCTGCTGGTAATTGAATAATGATGAGAACAGCGTAGGTTTAGTTTCTACTTATTAGAGGTTGTTTTTTTACTTAGAGAATGTGCCACAAACTACCCAGGTTCTTAAATCAAAACAGGTCTTGAGATGAAGTCACAAATTGCATCAAAATGAGGTAACTCATTCTAGAAAGTCCTTTTGATGAGTGTCATCTGCAAGACTTAAAATTTTATTTGCGGTTTACAGAAAAAGCAGTTTTCCAGATGTTGCATTTTTTTCGTTTCAGATCGAGAAGATCGAAGGAGTTCTGTCGTACAGAGACCCTCACTTCTGGAGGCATTCGGCCAACGTGATCGCTGGGACCATCCACCTGCAGATCATGTCGGATGTGGTGGAGCAGAGGATCATACAGCAGGTGGGTGTCGTGTTTCACTCCTGTGATTTGTGACAAGTTGTGTGTTGTTCTTTACAAACTGTGGAATCACTGCAGACTCCATATCTGAACACTGTATGTACATAAAAGATGGACGTAGCCTCCAGCAGCCTGTTTCATAAAGTGAATGTCCTAAATAAGTCAGGCTTGTTTCAGTTAGCCAGACTTGCTTTCAGGTTTTTTCAGATTCATAAACTAGAAACTTAAGTTGGAAACATAAAGTACACTGACCCTATCAAATCAGTCAGAGCTAAATCAGTTCCAGAAAGGTCAGTTCATATTCATGCTATCAGCCTAATTTGATACAGGCTCAAGCAGTCAAGATAATTGCATGTGTGGGCTCTTCTTAAGTTGATTTTCTGTAACCTGTAGTTTTTTGACTCGATGATATGGCAGAACATCAGAGTCAGTGGTGAAATCTTGGGTTTAACATCAGGTGAATATCACAAGAACTCTGGTTAAACTACAACTTGAAGTTAGAGTGACAGTTTGCCAGCAAGTTTCCAGATTAACTTGGCTTGAAGTATGTTGAATGTGCTTAATGGAACAGAAATAGCTCGAGAGTAACGCTATGTGTCGACAGGATCCGTTACTGCAATGCCTCCCAATCATTGTCTATTTGAGTCGCCCAGCAATGCATTCTGGTTGTGTTTCAATTTGAGAGACGAGATGTCGCGTTGTCAGCTCCTCATTTGCGGAAAGTTGGGGTCTAGGCTACTTTATGCAAATGAGCAGCGTCAAACGTGGTCTGACGCCACACAAAATGTCAGAAAAACTTTGAAACTAGCTGTTTTTAATCTAAAATGAGGTCAGATCCAGCAGCTTATTTCTCATTCCCATGTTGCCAGAAACATATTTGACTGAACTGTTCTCGCAATAAAAGTTTCTGAGCATGCCGCCATGTTGGTCCAGTTTGAAATCCAGGAGCTGGCAGCCTCTGAGTAAGGCATCATCCAATCAGATGCAGCCAATATTTGCACGGCCATAGGTTTCTGGTGTAGATTCCTGTTGAAGAACAGCTTTTTATTATCTGTTGAGACACTGCTGAGTTGAAGTGTCTAATGTTGCGTCTAAAAACACCCCTGTGGACACGTATCATAAGTCAGGCTAACTGTAACATGTGTGGATACTCTGGTACATTGGTTTTATGGAACAAACTCCAGGTCTGAAAAGTGAAGCCAATGTGAAAGTGCCTTAAAGCTGCATTCTTTCCTGCAGCCAGCAGGGGGCAAAACGAAATAGATTGTATAGAAGTCTATGAGAAAATGGCACTACTTCTTACTTGATTTGCCACCTCAGTAAACATTTTCCCAAAGAGTTTATGGTCTCAACTGCTGGTTTTAAGTCTCCTTCATTACAGCATGATGTTTATTTTGTAAATTATGGTCCCATTTAGAGTTAATTAGACGTTAAAGCTGCCTTGTGATTCACATGTTGCTAACAATGTCATAGCGTCCTTGATCCACTCTTTGTTTGTCATATCTAGTTTTAAAAAAAAAGCAAAATAACAATGGCCAAATTCCAACCTTGACGCTTCAAACGAGCAGTCCACAAACCAGCGGTTGATTTTTCTGGTTCCTACATCCACCTTTTATACACAGTCTTTAAACTGAAGGCTTAGCTTCATCGGGTACAGATGAATCCCAGCGTTTTGTGACACGCTGGGCTTTTTCTAACCAAGGATTTTACGTTTTTGCAAGAATCAAGGTCTTAATGGGTAGTTACATAGACGAACAAAATACTGCATCAAGTAGAAGAAATGAAGGTCGCCTGCACATTGACTGCACCCACTTCAGGTCTGGGGTCAAAACGTCCACCAATAAACATGAAAGTTTGACTTGAGGCTCTTTATTCAAAAACCTACTTTCCAAAATGAGTCAAACTTTCTCCAGGGTTTGTCAGGTTCCACAGAGCGAACAGACAGTTGGCTGGTTGGTTCGGTTTTGACTGTGTTCCTCCTCGTCGGTAGGTGACGGCCATCTTGAAAGACGCGGGGGTGAATAATCTGTCGGTCCAGGTGGAGAAGGAGGCGTACTTCCAGCACATGTCTGGACTCAGCACCGGATTTCAAGAAGTCCTGGCGATGACGCAGCAGATGGAGTCCATGAAGTATCTGAACGACGGGACGCGTATCATGTAAAGCTTTTATCAGTGGGACCAAATGAAACTTTAAGGATTCAAAGCCTGAGTCTCTTTTTCATTGAAATGTACAGTGTATGTATGTGGTTTAAATAAATCTGAATATATTGCTTTTATGTTCTTGTCGGCTGCCGTTTGTTTCGTGTGACTGACGTTGAAACCACCTTTTCACTGGAGCAGACATTTAAACATTTTTCCAACTCATATTTCTTCTCCATCATGACTGCAGTGCTGAGCTTTAAACATCAATATCAACCTTTAATTTCTAACTACCTGGTGCAGTATGCTTCTCTGTGTTCCCACTAGGTGACAGCAATATCAAGTATTTCTTCCGTCCAGCAATTCTCAGTGACTAGAAAAACAAGAAACCGTGTTTTTGAAGGACCTTCTCGCTTTATTTGAGCAATGAGCATTAATCTAATGCATATAAATGTGAAGAAAAACACAGTTGAACACGCTCTCTGTTGCTACAGTGCAGAGAGAAGTGCTGACATCTGATATGTGTTGCTCCATAAAAAATAAAAAACTACATGAGAAGTTCTCTTTGTCTACATGTTCGCACCGACATGTAGGAGTCAGGGGACGGCAACGCCTTGAGTCGCCCGTGTTGTGCAAAAGAAAAACTCGGGGAAGGGGGTTCATGCATCCTACGCAGCTGATTTCCGTTTCTACTCGATCTCGTTGGAGGTTCCCACGGTGGCCATGATCTCCATTTCTGTAGAGAAACAAAGAGATGAAGAAGCTGCTGCAGAACTTCAAAGCACTTTCTTTAGCAGTGTGTTCAGAAATCTGTTGGTTTAGTTGTTTACCTGGGCAAGGTCCACCTTCCAAGATAATGTCATCGATGGCGATATCACTCCTGACTGACGTACCTCTGGTCGCCTCGAACACAATCTGGCACAGAAAAACCACAATTTAGATCATTTCAGGGACATGAAAGTACATTTTCCATGTTCATAACTGCAGTTTATTCTCATCTTTTTAACTGCTCAACATTTTTAAGCATCGAAATACGAGAATAAGAGTGAAGCTGGGCCTGGCAGTGGTGCTGAAACAAAGGTCATGGGGTCAACAATGTGCAGCGGATCAGTCCCGCTTCTCAGTTTTTACTTTGATTTGCTCTCCTCAGATCCTTCCATCATGTCTTAGTCCCTGGAGGTAAGACGTGCATTTAACAAAATGAGAGAGCCTCAAAAAAAAAAAAAAAAAAAACCTCATTAAATCTGGACTGGAGTTCAGCAGGAGCCACATGGGAGACTCTGTGAGAAGGTTCTTCGGTCTAATGAGATTTTTTTTTTTCCCAACAGTGTATTTTGCCGCTCTCCCATACAGCAAACTGAGGAACAGCCTACAGTTATTGTATGAACAGAGTCTGAAGCTTGTACCTCCTTCAGAGGAGTCATCGGCGTCTTGGTGGCCTCCCTCACTCGTCTCTATCTCTATCACTTCCTCTAATCACATTTACACATGTTCCATACTTCTTCCATTTATTAATGATACTAATAAATATCATTGTTATTGTCTTTTTTTTTAAAAGATGATTTTTTGGGCCTTTTTGGCTTTATTTGATAGGACAGAGAGAAAGACAGGAAAGTGGGGGGGAGGACCTGCAGCAAAGGGCCATGAGCAGGAGTCGAACCCATGACCGCTGCGTCTGGGATTGTAGCCCCTATACGTGGGACGCCAGCTCAACCAGGTGAGCTATAGCGGTGCCCGTTATTAGCATTTTTAATAACTTTGTCACACAGTTGCTTGAAGTGTTCTTTCCTCTTTTCATGCTGTATTTATATCAAGCAGTACTAATGCAAGGTGGCGCAGTTGGTAGCACTGTTGCCTCGCAGCAAGAAGGTTTACGTCCCGGTGAGGACACCTGGGATCTTTCTGCGTGGAGTCTCCATGTTCTCCCCGTGCAGCGTGGGTTCTCTCCGGGTTCTCCGGCTTCCTCCCACAGTCCAAAAACATGTTGAGGTTAATTAGTGACTCTAAATTGTCCGTAGGTGTGAATGTGAGTGTGCCTGGTTGTCTGTCTCTAAGTGTAGCCCTGTGATAGACTGGTGACCTGTCCAGGGTGTCTCCTGCCTTCACCCTGAGTCAGCTGGGATAGACTCCAGCCCCCCATGACCCTAGTGAGGATTAAGGTGTATAGATGATGGATGGATGGATGGAGTACTGATTCACCAGTGGCTGGACCTTCAGATGCAGGAGTCTTTATACGAAAATCACTGAGACACATTCACTGCATCCCATTAATTTTGTGCCTTCTAGCACCAAATGTCTGCAACTGTGTTCACTTTACAGGGTGTGAATTCTTGTGCAATCACTTATTTTACATTTTTAGTTCATTGGCGTTAGTCTGCAGAAATCTGTTTTCACTTTGGCATGAACAAGTCTTTTATTTGGGGTAAATTCTGGTCCTAAAAGTCAAATTAAATGGACCACAATTCAATGTTGAAAACCAGTAAAAGGGTAAAACTTTGAAGTTGTTATAAATACTTTTTATAGGAACTACTTGTTGTGCGCTTTCAGAAATAAACTCATTTTATTAGCATATTTGGTACATTCCATTCATCCATCCGCCACAGACTGACTGATGATTTTCTATTCTTGAATCTTGAAAGTGTAAAATGTCTGAATATGAACTTGGCTATAATTAAAAGCAGTAGAGATTTAATTGCAGTCTTGCCTGATGCTGGCTGTCACACTGGTACTCCACTTGGGCCCTGAGCCAGGCGATGCTCTGCTCGCCGCTCCGTTGCCACAGCAACTCGTCCTCCCCATCCTTGTCGATGTGAACTTTGAGCTGGCCGGTGCCCGAGCCGTACATGTGGTAGAAGAACCGGAGACACTGAGGCCCTCTGGTTCCTCTGACGGGACGGGACAGCAGCCGGACGTTCTGGCCGGGCAGCATGGGCGACGCCTCCATGTACAGGTAGTATCCTGATGAAACAGAGAAGAGGCTGGACTGTTTATAGGTTTATGATCTCAAATCATCAAACTTGTAGAACAATTACCGTGACCATCTCTGACTTGCCTGAAGTTTGTATTTATCACAAAAAACTGATGTTAATAAGGATATTTGTGAAATTTTAGCTTGATATAGCATATATTTTAAGAGAATTTCTAGAAAACATTGCATGTCAACCTACTTTCAGCACTTTTTTTCATGCATGTAAATTTGATGTTTAAATGACAACATCTCAGGAAATATTAAAGATAAAAGCCTGAAATGTTCACTGTTATTTCTCATCATGTCATTGATTCAGAATCTGTAGTACTGGCTGAGTAGATCAAATAATCTCTGAATATGGGTGAGTTGAAATGTGAAAATTATCTAAGCAGTTGTGAGAAGTCCCATCTTTGAGCTCACATAAGAAAAAAAAATGATAATGCAGAAGTCAACTAGTGACACTTTCTGAAACACATGTAGCTGCAGGTCACAATAATACAAAGCAAAACAAACTGAATGATTTCTGATATGAAATATTTGGTCACAAAACAAGTTATTTTTGCTGAACTTTCATAACTGGCATGAGAGGTTGTACCACTAAAATAAAAATACTGCAGGATAGTCTGATCCAAGTAGAACAGAGTTTTAGAGTTTCAAAATTGTTCTTAAAATATAACTAAAGCAACCATAAACATTTTCTTAAATATATTAGGAAAACCTAATGCTTCACAAAAGATCACTTGTTAGTTTCTGGATAACAAACTTTTTTGTGAACAAGAACAAAGAACTTTTCATAACGACTACTTTCTTTTTTTCTCTCTTGATATTTCAACTAATCCATAATCAGAGACTAACTGATCTACTTGTCCAATATGACAGATTCTTAATCAATGACATGATGAGAAATAACAGTGAACATTTCAGACTTTTATCTTTAACAGTTTCTGACATATTTTTCTTAAATTAGCCTCAAATTACAATTCGCAAAAAATGTTCTGAAAGTGAGCAACCGGCAATGTTTTCAAAAAGACATTTCACAAAGTTTTTGATAGATCAGTCTAAAATTTCACAGGCATCATTTTAAATATTCACAGTTTGTAATACTTTTTTTTCATGCAAATCAGAGATGGTTGCACAGTAACCCAATGCTGATTTTCATCCATACTGTGTGTGTTTTTTGAGCTACATAAAACATCTGAAGCGAAGGAGAGCCTCACCGAGCCCGGTGGTGTGATCTCCTCTGGGTCCGGTGTACGAGGTCGGGGTGTTTCCTCTCCTCCACTCCCAGTCGGCCGCATCGCTCAGCTTGTCCTGAGTGTAGCCGCACAGTCCTGCTTCGAAGTCGCAGTGTCCGGGACGTGAGGACGACAACGAACCTGCAGGAGGAAGAATCATGAAACCGACATCAGGAAGTACTTCACTGTGACAGTCCAACCTCGAAACATGACTACCAAGTGAAAAAAATAATCATTTCATTTGGTTTTTGGCTGCATCTGTTGACAGGTGAGCTGAATTTTGGCATCAGGCTGGTGTTATAGTCTTGAACTTGGTTCTCTATATTTTTCGTCTTGTGGCATTGCCTGTCCTTGTGTGTCTCTTCTTATTTTACTTCCTGCTTTGTCTCTGTTTCCCTTCCTCTTTGATTACTTTCACCTGTGTCTCGTCTCCCCAGTTAGGTGTCCCTGTATAAATAGTCTTGTCTTTCTTTTGTCTTGTGCCAGTGTTGGATTCCTCTTGTCTGTTTCTAGTTTGGCTTTTCTCACCTGATTTGTGTGTTGTCTTTTTTTGGTTTTGTCTGGTTACTTTTGATATTCAACTGAACTTCTAGTTTGGATTTTTTCCTGGACTTCCAGCCGTCTTTTGTCTGCTGCTCTGCCATCCTGTCTTTCCATCTTTTGTAAGTAACTTTTTAACAATTAAAATATATTTTTTGTTTGGGTCCATGTCCGACTACTCCATGATGTCCAGATTAATTTCAGATGGGTTTGTCTGTATGTCCTCAACAAAAGAGTTCTGCAGCTATTAGTGGCCCCAAAGCAAGCAGCTGAATAGTTTGTTTATTCTGCACTAAAGGTTTTTTTTCTTCGGGCCCTCACCTACTGCTTCCTGGCCAAAAGTATGAGGAAGGATAAATAGATACTTAAGATAAATAAGAAAACTGATGTGCAAAAGAATGAGCAATTAACATGCTAATCTAAGAAATAAGGTGCAAAAACTGTTCGTATTTACAATAAAGGTGCAAAGTTGTTGTTATTCACAATGAAAATGTAAAAAAAGTCTAATTATGGTATATAAATAGAAACAAGCATAAAGAAGAGGTGTTTGGGTGCTGCTGGATCCAGGATTAGAAAAAGTAGTTTGTAGTTGCTGTTGCTCGGTGACACAAATTCCTAAATAAATCATCCAAACTCCCACATTGGGAGCCAACGCTGCCAAGCCTGCCTGTGTTGCCCATTAAAAACAGACGTGACTCTCAGAGCATTTAGTTATTCTCTAGAAATCATGGCTGCTGTATCATTACGTGTACCTATAAGTGACTTTGGTGACCAGGTGTTAGGTAAGCTCTTGGGTGTTTTCCAGTTGTACAATGACATAAAAGCAGCTCCTTCCTCACTGGAGGTATTTTTATTTTTATTTAGGTTACCTGCCGTCAGCTCACAGTCCCCGAAGCTCAAACTGATGTCGTCCAGCGCCACCGAGCCGCAGTCCCAGAAGCTCCTGCAGGTGCTGACGAACACCACCTGAACAGTGAGCGGAGACGTCAGCGTTACAGCGCCGGTGGAATTTCCCCGCTTTTACAACCATTAATTGTTTACAGATCAGCTCCTCAACAGAGCCAGAACCACAGACACCATGTCCGGGTTGTTGTTCTGCTCCGACTTGTGTCAGACTCTCGAATCCCCTGTGAGGACAAAAAGAAAACCATCGGTGCAGGAACAAAAGGCCAGTGTGGGGAAGTCCTTTGAGCGTTTTGGCAACTGGATGAAATCATGTTCATCATGCAGAGCACACTGTTGTAATGATACCGTCCTGCAACAGCATCTGTTTGGCAGCCAAAACAAAAAACACACATCAGAACCTCCAACGTTCAAACACTAAACCAGGGTTGTAGTTGACATTTGTTTCACTATTTGGGTTTTCCATCTGTTTGCTCGTCTCTCTTCACTGTATTCATCCGATTTATTCCTTTTTATTGATGATCCCTCTGTTGGTTCATTCAGGTTTAACTTGCTTCCTTAAAGTACTCCTCTGGTGAAAATCCAGGTTTTGTACCTTGGTAACATGTCCATATTATATTATTGTAGAGCAAAATGAACAGCTGAACATTTCAGAACATGGATTTAAGCTTCCAGGGCTGCCAAACAGACTCTGTGTTTCTGTTAACTAGTGTTTAATTAATTGTTAGGGGGATGTAGGGGCATAAAATCACCCTGAGCTAATGGATTTTTATCTTCTAATAATTCTGAATCGACCCATTCCTGATTTGTATCAGGTAAAATTGACAGGCAACGTGCTTTGTTGCCATTTATTATCATTATTTCTGGTTGTAGTTCTTGTCAGGCGAGCTGGTAACCTGCCAAGTGACTTCAGTGTTTAGTTCTCCATTTGCTGCGATTAGATTTATGATTTTTTGTTGAGTTACTGGTGCTAGTTTGGATGTTTTCTGGAACAAAATGGAAAAAAAATCTTTATTTTGTACATAAATCTGGCTGCACTCCAATCAGCAGCCAGCAACAAACCTCTTTGACTTCTAATGTTGGTGAGTCTGATTTGAATAAAAGCATCTGTAATATCATTTTTAACTCACAGTGACTGTTAGCTTCTTTGTTGAAGTTCATTTGTGTTGTTATATCCAATGCCACACTGGCTTCTAGTCTTCCTCCCAGCTTTCACCCTTTTGCACATTCATCCTTCCATCCAACCTTCACGTTTCTTTATTTTCCCTTCATTCCTCCTACTTGTGCTCGATTATTATTCCTTTTATTCTGTTTGTTCCTACTTCAGTTTCTTCCTTTATTCTTTAATTCCCCTCCTGCTTCTTTCCCCTCATCCCCTGTGTTTATTTTTTCACTCATCCTCCATTGATTCTCCATCGACAGTCAGACTGAAGCCATGTTTCCACTTCTACCTTGGCAGGCTGCGTCGTCTGGAAGGTGACGTCCGCCGCGATCCAGATTCCTCTCGACTTCTCGCCCTGAGTCCAGATCCTCTCCTTGCCGCCGCTCTGCTGCTGCAGCAGATAAACGGCCAGAGCCTGGTCCGTCTGGTTGAAGCCTGCAGTTGAAGCCAGAGTTATTTCTGGTCGGTGAGTCAGTCGAATTCTAGCGAAACATTCACACATGGACTCGAACGCCACTGGAGGAAAAGACGCGCAAAACAGAGTGTTGATGATTCTCTATCAGTCTGGCGAGCTCCTGGGTGCCACTCACCCCTCAGGGAGAAGTAGAATCTCAGGCAGTACTTCATGTTCCCTGGCAGCGTCGGACCGACCAGGCGGCTAACGTAGCCGGAGCGTGGGCCGAGCCGGGAGTGAGCCAACAGGAAAGATCCTGGAAGGAGAAGACAGGTTTTGTTTTCTTGCAGAACTCTGTCTCTTCCTCTGCTGGCCCTGAACGTTGGACCCGGCGCTCATGCCTGGTAGTGATCTGGTTTTCAAGTGTTTATCAGCTGCATATTAAGTTTAATTTCTGCGTCCAGCGGTTTAACTGTTCCCTAGAACTGCTTACATTGATTTTGTGGCAGAAAAACATCAAAAAAAGCTGACAAGCACGAAGCCGCCACCTAATCGATAACGTATGAAGTCGTAATTGCTTTCATTCTGGTTAAACAAATACTCCTATCCAGCTTTAAAGTCGAACACTCAGCAAAACCTGCCTGTGTGGCTGCTAAATGCTCCACTGTGTTCAGCTGCAGGTTCCTAACTGCGTCCGTCTGCTCGGAGGTGGAAACATTTACTGACCCAGACGGTTAATGTGCCGCACAACCAGAACTGTGACTTAAAGGAGGCAACAGAATGAATGATTTCAGCCCTGCAAGCATCCCTCCAGTCATTTGGCTCCACGCTACCTCTTATTTAACTTTGCGCTGCTGTAACACTGTCAGACTGTTTAAATAACAACAAATGGGATGCAGCATAACCGAAGCTTTCTTTTTGATTCCACTCATTCTGCTTGCTTGTCAAAACCTGCCATCTAAGGCTTGTAGTGGCAAATAGAGGCGCTATGGAGCTCTCTTAACTCCGCAGCTACACATTCTTTATCATTTTTAATCTTGTATTCCTTCTGGAGCCATAAAAGGCTTTATATACCTCATTTTTACAAGTTCTGTAGGACTACCGAAGACCTGCGTGCAACTTTTGAGCTGGAAAATCAGTGCAGTTTCTCTGTAAATATCAGATCCATATAGTCGGTTCCTTTGCTCCCACCTGCCCCCGTGGTGTGGTCTCCGTTCCTAAATATGTTGGGCTTCACTGACACTCTCCTCCACGCCGAACCCAACACATCGTCTTGGGCGTAGCGGCAGAAGCCCGACTCAAAGTCGCAGTTGGCGATGGAGGGGTCAAAAGTCGGCTCTGTGGAAGAAATGCGTGGAATCAGAATTTTTCAGATGAACACCTTTGCGGCTCCTGTTTTACAGCTTTAAAGCGATGCACATCTGTGTTGAGTTTGTTATGGATATTTATAGATTGTGTTTTTGGTTGACCCCGTGATCCACATTAGTGCCACCCTCAGGATTAACTTAGTATTTATCCTCCACTACTTTCAAACCTCTAAGGCTGGATCAGTCAAATATCTTACCGCAGTTTCCTTTTAAATCCTTTTAAAATCCCAATTTACCATGATGTAGCCGATTTATGACTTTCCCCAGAGTGCGTCACCTCACTAATAAGAGCGTTTTAACACAGGGAACAACTGCATCTCACCGGTGTCTGTGCTGCAGAAGTCTGGAGAAAAGGAAATGTCATCAAGTGCAACACGTCCGCCTCGCTGGCTGTTAAACGCCACTTCAAAGACCACCTGAAGGCACAAACGCACATGGAGACAGAAAGTCATAAACACAGCTGCTCGCATTATGTCCACACAGATGCATTCAGACTCAGATTTACATTTAGATTACTGTACATTTTACAAACACTCTTTGTATTTATTTTGTACAAGTATAACTAATAAGAAGGCAGAAAAGCCAAACAAACACACAACACAGTAAATGCATTGACCACTTTATTAGGTACACCTGTACTATAGTGCAGTGCCATGCAAAACCACCACCAGCTATGATCTTAATGCATAAACATTTAGCACTATGATCACATTACAGACAAACTGCACAATGAATTTTCACATTATTCTCTTCAGCTTAAAAATGTCGTCTGTAGTTGATCTGAACATGTCTAAATGTAGCATAAATGCCTCTTCCCATCCTGAAACTACTCCAGCCAATGAGCCTGTTCCCATTGGATACACTCACAACGGCAGAATGTCAAAATTTAGGATTTGACCTCTTTGGAAGTGGCGTTATATTTTAAGAGGGCTAATAAAACGGTAAAGAGCTGCTCAACATTGAAAATGATGTCAGCAACCCTGGAGAGAACGTACATGCTAAATATTGGCCTGTTTCAACTGCACACTGCCATCTGGAGCAACCTGTGGTTCAGTGTCTTATCCAAGGACGCATCGGCACATGGAAGGACGGGGAATCAAGTCTTTCAGTTAGTGATTCGATATCTCGATTTGAAAGCTTTAAAACTGTTTGTAGTTAAGACATTGTGAGAAAAATCAGCTACACACATCCAACCTCCACCGATGACTAACTTTTGGGCGCGGTTTGCACCTAAAAGTTAGTCATCGGTGGAGGTTGACAAACCTAACACGATGCAGAGGTTGGCCTTTTTATATTGAGCATTGAAATTCATTGCAGAGTCGTGCCACGTGTAACACAAGCTGCCTGATTTTGATTTGCTTTTCTGCATTGCGCCATCCTCAACGATAACTGAAACTCATTGCCACTTCCAAGAGGAGAGGAATACTAGATTTCCCAGTGGGAACCGTGTCATTGGCTGCAGCAGTTTTGAATTCGTCTGTGATTATACATGATGTGTCTGGTGGGAAAAGACAAACCAGCTCCTGGACTCTGTTCTAGTTACCTCTTTACGCTAGGTGGCTTCTAAAAGTTGGCCATAGTTGAATTCCATCATGTGAGGAGTCAGAACAGGACCAAACATGGGCACTGGTAGAGTCAGTAAACTGCCTCAGTAGTGACATAGCAGTATTCAATTGAAACATCTATCCACAAGTATCTACATTAGCCACTATGAGCTACTGGCCATCCAGACCAAATGAGGCTGTAAAACTCCTGAGAGTTTTAAACTGACTTTGATTACTGAATAATTGATCTTTACACCTGTAAGAAGGCAAATGTGTTGAAAAAGTCATCCCAGACCGACCTGCACTGAGTACGGTGCCTTCAGGTCCACCTGCACAGGTATCCACTCTCCAACAGCCTCGCCCCAGTCGTCCTGGTTTTCCGACCCCGCCCTCCACAGCTCCTGGTACTGACCCAGTCGGTCCCGGGTGAAAACGGAGAACAGGTTTCCCCTCTCCTCGCTGCGCTGGTACTGAAAGCTCAGGCAGCCGGACATCGGCACCGTCGTCATGGGAGTCACCAGTTTGGCCACTTCTTTGAAAGTCTCGGCGTAGATGGAGTCCACGTACATGAAGTGGCCTGAGGGGGGTTCAGAGACTTCAGTCCCAGCAGGCGTCATCTACATCAAAGCTTCTGAGCTGTCTAGATTACAAAGTGTTGTGTTTTTTGTATTGCACGGCATTTAAATCACCATATTTTATTCTGAAAAAGGTCCTAATTGCGTGTTTACAGCTCTAAAATGTGCTATTATCTGTTGGTCTGTACTTTCTTGGTACGTTTTGAACTCTGTTGGCTACTTGTTTGAAGACAGAGCCATGCAGAGAAGATATTATGGTGCTACAGACAGGTCAGAAAAGATGGAAAGTATTGAGAGAAAAACTAATAAATGGTCAGTTTTGATCTTTTTATTGGATTTCTTTGAAGGTGAGGAGTGAATGTTGACGAAATACACTTAGATGAAGGCTCCTTTCATTGGGTCATTGGTTGTAACTACAGTGGAGATCTCACTCACCTGTCTTGTTGTTGTACGTGTGGTCATTTGGTATGTTGTTGAGCAGAACCTGGACCCCACCTCCTCCCACGTACCAGTTCACATTGGCGTTCCACTGGTTGTTGTACCCGCACAGGTGAGACTCCTCAAAGTCGCACTCTACAGAGAAACCAGCGACAGAACTGGCCGTTAAATGAATGCGTGCGAAAGCTTTTCCTGGATGCAGATGGCCTCTATCCAGACACATGTGGATCTTGTGTTCCTTTTTGTTTAAACTCAGACGTGTGAGTGATGCATGTGTGAAGTCACCGACCCAGGCAGTATCCGGGGCTGATGTGGATCTCAAAGACGGCCACGCTGCTCCCAGCGATCGGTCCCGGTTTACCTTCGATAACGACCTAATCAACAACACATGTTCAGTTAATACCCGGCAATAAGGAGTGACACCGCAATGACATCATAGAGGGTCAAAAGCAGTGCACGCACGAAACGTACAGAATCTAATTTATCGCTAAAAGCTCTGGTGAGCGGCAGGTTCGCTGAGAAATGACATGCAGAGGCCAAGACGACACACAGGAAGACAGAGGTATTTGGTAAAACATGAGGTCAGGCTTTGTGCATGTTTGAAGTCATGTAGAGTCGGTTTGCAAAATAAAAGTTGTTGCTGAAAAACATGGTTGACGAAAGTGAGGAAATGTGCCAAATCTATAAGCTGAAAAGCTCCACAGCGTATAAAGTTGGCTTCGTTGATTTACTGGGACCAAAAAAACATTCATCTCCAGCAGTGAGAAGCGTTGATCAGTTACTGTACATATATTAGATTTCTATCCTCAGTTATTAGTTCAAGATTTTGGAAAATACCTCAATTCACTTTCTTCGAGACGATTAGAAATGCTTGAAATCTCAGCTGTTCTGGTTGAAACAAAAACGTACACAACTGCTGCATGTTTAGACACAACTAGGATGAAAACTTGACACCTTAACCGAGGCGGTTGTTGTACGGGGAGAATTACTTGCTCCCAAACAAAATCCTGAATCATTTTAATTACAATCTGCTTTGCAAATATAGCTCACCAAGGTATGTAGACGTAAGTGAATGATACTGCAGTGTTGCCTGATTACACTAAAGTGCAAAAGCTTTGGTTATGTGGTCACAAGAAACATTAAAATATCACTAAAACAGAGTTTGCTATTAAAAATGGCCATAAAGTTGTGTGTATTTGTTTAATCCAGATAAACGCAGCTGCAGACGTTTATAGAAACTGAGTGATAATCAGGTTTTGGTGGACAATCATCACTTTTAGGCCGATTTCAGATGTTCCCAAAGTTTGTTTGCTCTGGAACTGGACCTGATCAAAAGAAATGCAAAAAAAATAAATCTGTTTTCCACGGAGGGACATAGTGTAAGTATTGAGCCAGGCTAGCTGTTTCCATCTGTTTCCAATCTTTATGCTAAGCTAAGCTAACTGCACCACACTCCAGCTCCTTGAAAGAAAGCAAACAAACGTGTTTTCAAAATGTCAAATTACTCCTTCAGTAAGAAAAATAAAGTGAGTAAAGCTGTTTTAACCAAAATATTAGCGTGAAGTCAGTTGTGTAACATCATTTGAACTTTGAAAACTCGATTGTCACGTCTGTGAGAGGTCAAAGCTGTGTGAGCTTGTTGTGTTGAGCAAGAGGAAACGGCAGAACACTTTAGCAGTCGGTGTGAAGTTTAAACCCCAAACATTAATTCATTTCACCCAGTCCTGCACTGGAATATGTTTATGTGCCGAGGGGCCCGCGCATAGCACAGGTCTGGCACCAAATCATGTAGGTCGGGACCCCGTCACAGTCGGCCGTGCCTCTGCATGTGATGTAAAACATCTGCTGCGCTGCTCTCACAGTGTTTAGATAGTGATTACACACTTCACATTGGCCTCCATTTGGGCGTGCATGTGTAATGTCAACCTATATCTGTCTTTTCAACATCAGGATGAAATGTTTTCTGCACAGCTGCTGTTGTTTTAAGCTTAGGCAGGTTGGAAAATCAGCTGTGACACAGTAAATGTGTAATAAAGGTATGTCTTATTTATGTGTTATGAACCAATGAAAGAATTGGTTTTTCCATTTAACTTTGCTTTGATCTTGATGTTCTTTTGTTTTGTTTTTTAGCAATCTGTGGCAAAGACATCTTGCAGAATTACAATTTTCTTTTCATAATATTGCAGCTTTTTTTTTTTTGCATGGACGACTACAAGGTTAATTCAAAATATTATGACTTTTCTTCGTCTTTAATCTATAAATGGAGTGCTGGTGGAGGCGAGCACTCTGGACGGCACAACTGTTGCTTTTAGAACCACTTTGCTTATGCACTGTATATGTTAACCTTGTGGCTGGACGGGGCCTTAGTTTACATAATGTAATGCAAGCTCGAGCCGGAAATGTGCATCCGTCTCTGGATCACTTTTTATGATATTGTGATTGCATTTGCATTCTATAAGCATCAAAACATCTTCGAGGATGTGTATTTTCCATATAGGACACCGAATGACCTTTTGTCTCTGTTGCTTTTGTATTTTAAGCTTGTTGAACCAATACAAGACTCTTTGTAAATGTCTTGTACCCTGTAGGGCTCGGTGTTGTTCTGCAGGTCCATGCTTGAGATGACCCAGCTGTCGGATGGTGCCTGGCTGCTCCACAGCGGTTTATCGAAACTGTCTCCGTTGGTGCGTTTCAGGACCTCCAGGCTTCCCGACCCGGTGATCTGGTAGACGAGCCTCAGGCAGCTCCACTCGCTGTGCTCCAGAACCGGACTCTGCAGAACCCCCGTGGTGTCCTTGTGCGGTTCGGCACCTGAACCCAGATGGTCCTCCTGGTTGTCGTTGGTGGCTGCGTCCACTGCGACAAAACGGCCTGAACACAAACGGGAGTCACACACATAAAGGATTTCAAAGGGATACGTGAATGTTTTAGCCCATAAAATACACCACAGGGTTTCTCATATGTTCTTTAACCTTTCAGGCAACCATTGGTTTCCATTCATTCATGACAGCAAACTGTAGAGACCTCCTGCTGCAGGCCACTAACCCTGTACAACTTCCACTTCCTGCTACAATATCTACTAACCAGTAAGTATCCACAGTTAAGTGCAATGGCGCTCATTTAAAAATGTCAACATTTTGTTGCTCTGTACTTGTGACGTGCAATGACAATAAATCTGATCCTAAAATGTTGGAAAATAATCCAGGTTTAGTGGAGCAGAATATACAACTGACACCTTAAAAATGTGGTGCCTCCTGCCAGTCCAACAATATAATAACTCTTTAAAAACCTGACGCCCAGACTTCAATGCAAACTTCATGGTTGCATCTATTTTTGTCAGCTCCTGCACCATAATGTCATACAGAGTTTTACCACTGGACTGAATACCAGTCACCAGTATTTATCAGCTACAATATATAGCAAATGAAGAAGCATCAACATAACAGAACAGGCTAATGTAGCTTATAAATAATGCTAGATGGTGTGCAGGCCAAAGGACAGCCCTTAGCGGTAGTGTTTGTGATGATCAGTTTGCCATTTATTATGTAGGTCAGTTTTCCTGAAAGAAAAAGTCTGGTCTTGACAAGGTATGCATAAATGTGGAAAGACAAATTATTACTCTGGTTTCTGGCAGTCTTCTTTGTTTTAATGTCCCTTAACCACACATACATAAATCAACAACACAGCTGCTTGGCACAAAGTCGTGCAAATCCTCAGAGGAAGTCATGCTATAGGTTTCTTATTTACACCATGTTCATAAACAGGAACGCTAGATGTGAGTACAAAGTAAAACAAGCAAAGGGATGCAGACAGACGATGCTGGAGGATCAGCTCGATGCTCTGCAGGTACAGTGGGGGTGTTTTGTCGCAGATAATGTTTTTAGCATATTAGCATGCTAGTGTTTGACAATAAAAAAGTGCAGCTCAGGTTGACTGGAATGTATTTTTTGCAGGTGTTTGGTCATAAAGTATATCACTGGATAAACTGACTTTTTTGCAAGACAATGGTGATGGATGGAAGTAGAAGGTCTGTCACGGTGTTTGGGTCTTGGTTTCTGTTTTCTTCCTGTTTTATTGTGAAGACGCCTTTCCTCATGTTGCTTGTGCTTCTAATTCCTCCATTTGTCTCTGTTTCCCTCCTTTTTTTGCCCTCACTAGTTTCACCGATGTGTCTCCCAAGTCAGTTGTCAGTCTATAAACAGTTTGGTCTTTCTGTCTCTTTTTCTCAGTTCGTCCTGTTGCCAACCTCACGTTCACCTGCCGGGTCACCTACCTTTTTTTATATCTTTAGTTTTTGGGCCTTATTTAACCTCATGCTTGCAACCTTGTTTACCGACCACCTGTTCACCTTCCTGATTCTTCTCCTTGCTCCTCTGGTTTGTGTGTTGTTGTTGTTTTTTTTTTTGTTCTTTTAGAATTTTGGGGGGATTAACTTCCTCACTTATGGATTTCTACCTGGATCATGAGCTTCCCTTTGTTTTTTCACCTGTAACACTCCAGTAAGTTTCTTTATTGAAGTTTGTGCACTTGGGTTTATTTCAATCCCAACAGGATCAGTATCGATATTTCCCTCTGGATCAAACACTAGAACTAGCATGGCTAAATAAAGTGACTTGTCAAATTGTTAGATCTTTAAGTCACTTCATAAACACTCAGAAACGTATCTCCGTGTGTCAAAGTTACATATCTAGAAGTTTTTTTCCATGAAAAATAATACATTTCAGCCATAAAATGATATAGATGTATCTCTGTACTGGTGCTACCTCTCTATTCACTGCAGCTCAAGCACACCAGCTCACCTACAAACTGTAAAACCATTCTGCACTACACAACAGCAAAGTGTCAGGCTGGAGTTATCATATCTCATCCTGGATTGGTTCTTTAGGTTTGCTGCATGTGAAACACCAGAAACTTGAATCTGTGTTTTTAGGACTGCAGTTTTAAGGTGGAAATATTCAGCCACGGTTTCGACTTCGTATTTTCGACTTCTAACGTTTTTTTAAAAATCGATTTTCACAGAAGGGAACCTTTCGCAAACTGAAATTCTGCAGAAACAGTTCAGAGCCGCAATCTGCTCGTCAGCTGGATTCTGGATCAAGTAAAATACGTGGCATTGTTGTGAAACGCTGTTTGTCTCGGCTCCATCTCGGCAACATACGACCTCAATCATTTTCTGAGCAGTTTCTCTTTTAGAAAGAACGGTACAGAAGAGAGTCGTGTTCAAATCTAGATCCTGTTTATATTGGAATCTTTATCAGGAACAAGATCCAACTTACTGAAAGGGACATTTTGCATTATGATTCATGTCCAGAGTTAATACATGAAATCCACTTCAGCTACTCTTTTGTGCTGCAGGGCGCTCTGAGCTCTCCTCAGCGGTCTGTCATTTATTATTTGTCCCTGTGGAATGCCCTGCTGCCCGGGGCTCCTGTATCCTGACAAACAGTCCCTCTGACTGAGCTCAACTCACCTTTTACTCGGAAAATTCTATATTTTTCTTTTTCTTTTTCGCCAATAAACAGCTGCAATTGGTTGCAACTGTTTGTGTTTACACATTTAATTGGCCAAACGTAGCTGAACTGAGCAGAATGAACTCAAACTGACGTCAATCTTGATTAAATCAGTATTGATTTTTGACGTAGGGGGGAAAAAAAAGAACATAAAAAGTGCTTTGTATTTTTGATGTGACTTCACCTCTCTTGTGCACAGAAGGGAAAGTAATGGGAAGAGAATAAATGAACTGAGCGAATCAGCTACAGTGACCTTATTTAACAAGCCGGCGGCAGCAGCAACAAGGATGGAAACAGGAAAAGAGAAAGTCGTTGACGTATCCCAGGGAGCAAAGCGACAAAACAGAAACTGCAGAACAATTTTCAGACAAGTATGAGCAAGGATTATGGTGGGAAAAATAACATCTGAGGTGGTTTTTCCAACCGAGTCTGGTTGCAGGACGTAGCGAAGGCTGTAGATCAGAGATGGTTGTAAGTTTTTTATGATGTAGCTTATAAAATATAGACAGTTTACGGATAATAATGCTTGACTGAGAAGAAGACACAATGCAACAACTGCAATGCAACAATGTTTTGGCAATTTTTTGTCTTCTGTTGATATAATGTCAGTGGGTGCACAGTATGATATCTATAGTTAGCCTAGCTTAGCATCAAGACTTGAAATATGGAGAAGCAGCGAGGCCAGCTGGATCCAAAGTTAATAAATACACCTACCAACAGCGCTAAACCTCATTAGCGCATATTTTTAAAATCGTTTCATAAACATAATTGTAAATATGCCACTTTTAGAGGGGGGATTTACGTGCTAAAACTATCTGTAAGGACTAACAAAATGGTGGAGTTGCTTCCAGAGATTTGGAGTTTGACAAGACTTGGAGTTTTGTATTTTGTTTCACCCTTTGTTTTTGTAGTGACACTGTTCATCAGATTGAGTTTTTTCAAGACTTGTGATTGAATCAAACTTAAAATGCTGTGGTATACCATTGTCCCAACTTTAGCTTAGCATGTTAGCAAGCACACATTTGCAAATTAGCAGAGACACGCACACTAGCTCTATCATAGGCAACAGTACTTTGCGCTAACTGCTACTTTCAGCATAACAACATACAACAATGGCATTACTAATATACTAATATGTGTAGCAGCTGTTAGCAACATTTAGCATTCCAGTGTAGCATTTTAGCATGCTAATATTTGGTAATTAATCACAAAGTACTACTGACGGGAATGTTGCTTCCTTTTTAGGTGTTTGGTCATAAACCAAAGTAGCTTTAACTAAATACTAATGACAACATATTACAATAGCATTGCTAATATGCTGATAAAATGTGTAGCAACCTGCTAGCATGCTAATATTTGTTAAATAATTACACAGTACAGCTGAAGTTAACAGAAATGTTGCTTGCTTTTTAGGTATTTGGTCATGAGCTAAACTGGACAAATTAAAAAAATTGATTTGATTTAAAATTCATCTACATGATCGTAAGGTTGGTGGTTCGATCCCCCGCCCCTCCACAGTCAAAGTGTCCTTGGGCAAGACGCTGAACCCAAAGTTGGCAGGCTTGCGCTTTGCATGGCAGCTCTGTCACGACTGGTGTGTGAATGTGTGCGTGAATGGGTGAATGAGAAACACATTGTAAAGCGCTTTGAGTGCCGCTTAGGTAGAAGAGCGCTATATAAGTTCAGATCATTTACCATTTACATAGTTTCAGTTCATCCTCAGGGGAACATAAATGTGTGAATTTCACTCTAATCATTTCAGTATCTGTCAGCATATTTCAGAAAAAAAACAAGGGTCTCTTGAAATACTGCAAAAACAAAAAAAAAGAAAAAAGAAGAAGAAAATGTGAGTTATTCTTGTTTACATTAACAGCTTTGGAGCAAACTAATTGGGCTGCATCGTGTTGTCAGAAGGTGGCAATGTAGGCCACATTATGCATAGCCTCAATTAACAGAGTAGAAGTAGATGGAAACAACAGCAGGCATGTCTTCCAGCATCCATACCACCTCACTATATAATGTACCAGAAAAAGATTTAGCATGTCCCAATACTCAATATGTCCAAAAATAACCAGATGTCCTCCTCCATCAGATTATCAGATTTTGAAATATGCAGGTCAACATGCTGCTCTGGCCATTCGGATTCTGATTATTTTGCAGTTTCTGTTAACCTTTTTGTAATGCAATACTCCGAAATATCCTAAAAAACATGTTATGTAAAGCAGGAAAATTGAGACACTATTCAGCATTTGCTTCTTTTATCTGCTGCCAGCCTCAGCTTAAAAACCACTGCAGGTAATCACAGTACCCAGCTATTGTTTCACAAGAAATAGTTCCAGTATGTAGCTTCCTTTGCTAAGCTAAGCTAATTAACACCCAGACATTCTGTATATAAGATATTTCCATCTTTGTAATAACCAGTCTACCCCTAAGCGACTATGACTTTGGTAATAGTGTAAAAACAGGTCAAGTTAGTCTCTACAGTTGAATGTTTAAGTTTGCTGAGTAGTGTATTAATTCTGACCAACAGGGGACTGCAGGTAAACATGAACCGTTCTGATTATTATGCAGATGTGGGCCAGTTCAAGTCTTTCTGCAGAACATGAACCACCTGTGGACCAGAATCAGCAGCTGGAATCCCACCAGAACTTTTCCTGACTCTGGCGGATTACTAATTACGAGCCTGACAGAACTGATCAGCCACATTTAGGTATTTTACATTAAGGTTGGGAAGAGATTTGGGGAAACTCTTTTTTAAAAACATCAACATAACCTTGATCTCTTGCTTCCTGTCACAGTTGACATGACAACATCCTGCTGCTGCTGCACTAACAAGCTTCAGCGCTATTGGCAACCAGATGCTTCTTAATATTTGCGCGTGGACTTTGCTTTCCACACATTTATTTTAAATGCACATTAATCACAGCAATCCAATCATGCACAAGTGATCTAATATCCATTCATATGTTGCCTTTGATCACTTCAAATAAGTACACAGTGACATAACTCGGCCACGGCTGTGTACGGCGCTCATTCATATCAGCTGCACTACCAGCCCGACGAGAATGCTTAAATCTGTTATTTCACTGACTCCAGATGTTTGTGGAATCAATGCGGACCAGATGGGCTTCTTTTCACCAGCGTGCTTCAGTGGTGCAGCCAAAACAGAACCAAAAACTGCCACCATAAGAGCCAGTTACAAACTTCCAGACTGAAATAATCAAAGGACTGAAGATGCAGCGTGGCAACTTTAAAAAAAAAAAAAAAAAAGTACCATCTTTGTGTAGGGTCCAGCTCGTGAAGTCTGCATCTGACGTGTATCCGCAGGTGTTGGACTCAAAGTTGCATGAGCCTGGCAGCAGCAGCTTGTGGGCTTGGATGGTGGCTTCGAGCGCAGAGAAAATGAGAAAGAGGGAATGGTAAGTATGAATCATGGCAACTGGCATTAACAGAAACATGCCCTCATGCACCAGCACTGGCACAACGTACTCACCAGCTAAAGTTAAGAGGTAGAATGGAAACATCGCAGCTTTCTATGGAAGAAAAACAACAACACAAAAAGTCAGCCTCAGAGGAAATAAGAAAAGAAGATGAAGGTTTTGCATCCAGAGCTGTGGAAAAATAGAAAAAGTTGCACTAAAGTTTGTTTTTGAAGATTTATCCTGTGTGTCGGCTGAGTGTCTCTCCAGCTCTCAGACTGGCAGCACACTGCAGACGTCCTGTAGAGACGAGGAGGAGGAGGAGGAGGAGGAGGAGGAGGAGATGTGGGAGTGAGGGAGAGGAGGAGGAGAAAAAACAAGATCAGTGATGAGCTGATGGGAGGCCAGTGAGGGAGCAGGGCAACAAAGGAAGTGGAGGGTGGGAGGAAGGAGGAGAACGAAGTGGAGGTGTGAGGCAGAGAAAGTTGGACATGATGAATAAGGAGGGATTCTGTGTGAAAACAGTGATGAACTTTAAACTAAACGAACTCCTGCAGGGTCAGAGGTCTGATACCTTCACGTTATTCAGCTCACCTACCAGATTTATCCTGAAAATCTGAGGACAGAGTCTTTAACTTCCAGCCAAAACTGGACTACCATCAGCTTAATGAATAAATGGGACCATCCTTATCAGAGTTACTCTGTGCTTTAAAACTGAAAGTGGCCTGTATTTACTTTTTCTTGACAAGCGACCTCTTGGGGTCGTGTGACTGTGACCTTTTGAGCTCAAAATGGTCCCTTGGGATCAATCGATTTCTGAACTCTTTATCATAATTATCATTATAAATAGTTAGAAATTGTGCCCTTAAACTAACACCTAAAAGTTAACAGCTAAATATTTCATAAAATGACAGCGTAGTTAAACAATTACCTAAAAGTAATGGATTAAATTGTGCGCTAAATCTGCTAAATAAGTTAAAGCACAAAGTGTTAAATAGAAAAAATTAACCAATAAAATGCACAAATATATAAGTACTCGACTATTACTTTTAGCCATTTATCATGTTTAGCTAAGTATTTAATGCTTTTAGCCAAATATTTATTACTGGAAGACAACTGTCTGGTAATTTTAGCTATTACTTTTAGCCAATTGTTTCCTATGTGTAGCTAACTATTTATTATCTTTAGTCAACGGTTTGCTACATTTAGCTAACTATTTGTTACTTTTAGTTAACTATTTACGACCTTTGGCCAACTACTTATTACCTTTAGCCAACTTTTTGGCAGTTTTAGCTAACTATTTATTACATTTAGCCAACTATTCGCTAAGTTAAGCTAACTATTTATTACCTTCAGCCAACTATTTGTTACGTTTAGCTAATCATATAATACCTTTATCCAACTTTTTGGTAGTTTTAGCTAACTATTTATTACATTTAGCCAACTATTTGTTATGTGTAGCTAACTTTTTTTTTTTATTACTATTAGCTAGCTAACTAGTTGTTACTTTAACCAGTTATTTTTTTACTGTGAGCCAAATATTTATTACTTTACAATTTGCTAAGTAATTATTGTTTTTAGTCAACTGTTTCCTATGTGAAGCTAACTATTTATACCCTTTAACCAACTGTTTGCTACATTTAGCTAACTATTTATTACTTTTAGCTATTTATTTATGAGTTTTAACCAACTATTTGTTTCTTTTAACTAGCTATTTTGTCATCTTGTCTTCTAACAATGACCAAAGTCAAGTTAAACTTAACCAAACCTTAAATGAAGGTGACAGATCAGTCACTTTTTAATTATCATGTTGGTCTTTTTGGACTTTTAGAAACATGTAGGCTTGAGAACCTGTTCTAAATGCAGCGAATAAACTCCAGAACAGAGTCTCTCTTATATTTTCATGTTTTCTATTTTAAAGTCCCTCTCCCACAACTGATTAGACCAAAAGTTTTTGGACAGTTCCTTTTCTTAAGTTCCTCATTCCATTGGAGGAAGATTTTAGTTCAGCAACACAGGATGATATTTTAGACCCTTTAGTAAACTTTGTGCCAACAGTTTGAGTAGACGTCTTTCCTTTTCAACATGATAATGCTCCACGTGCACAAAACTATGCTGCAAAACAGGTCTATAAATAAGATATGGTAGTACTTCACTGGCTTGCTTCGAGAACTGACCTTAACCTCACCTCAACACATTTGGCAAGAAGTGGAATTGGGAGGAAATCTTTTAATTCATTCCAATATAAATTTATTTATGTCATGTCAAACCACACTGTAAGTCATTTTAGGGCAACTTACACAGTGAAGTCAAGGCTTTATAGACAATACTATAAAGAGAAACCCGGCAATTCCCTGTGATCGAGCCCTTGGCGACTTGCTTTAGCCGCACGTTAACGCCAGTTGCTTTGAAACATGTTCAGCGGTACCATATGCATGTTAGCATACTTCTGGCATATAGTATATTCTGTGTGTTTTGGGAACGGCGTGCTGGAATTGAATGAAAACACACCTTCCTGCTGTGATGTGATAACGCTTCATTGATGGAGGCGAGGCCTGAACACACAAATGATCTAAGCTGTATTTTACAAACCGCTTGAGTCAAAACATTTTGCAACCATTTAAAATATTTGTCCTGGCTTCAGCCTTGAACACCTCGCCGGCGTTTTGTGACCTGGAACAGTAAGACATCCTGCCCCGAATCCTACATGTGCACCCAACAACAGCTCGCAGACATTCTCATGCAGCTGAACGCTCTCCTAAAAAAAATCTGATTTAAATTCAGAGACAGAACTGTGCTCATCCCAAATGCACAAAATATGACTGTTGGACGAGTGATTAATAGAACAACTGAACTCTTACAGCTCAGCGTCCTTGCAGCAGGGGAATGAATTTGAGCGATAGAGGAGGAAAAAATGCAGCATGCTGGACACGGAAGATCAGACTTTGTTGTATTTTTTAGGGGGCGAGCTCCCATCCACATTTGTGTTCCATCTGTCTGACATGCTTTCTCTTCTGCCTCGGCTTTTTTTTTTTCTCCTCCTTTTTCTGCAGTTGTCTCGTACAGGGTCAGCAGCACTCTGCCTTCCTTTCTCCTTTGGTCATCAGCATTTTAACAAGGAGCAACGAGCGCTGTCGGCCCAGATGGGGGGATGAATTCTCTCCTGATTATGTAGTCAGAAAATCTGCAACCATCAATTTGAACTGAACAAACACTGAGGATCTGACTCATCTCCTGCTGGTTTTGAGAAAACGACTCAAAAGAATAATTATCTTTAAGTTCAAACAGTGTTAACTGTTTTCTCTATGACAACAAACCAAGAGGGGATTGGAGACATTATTCTTCTGATCGTTCAGTCCTGCAGACACATTTTCCATCCTCCATCATTCATCTCTTTAATTTCCTGGTTGTCTGTGGAAACAACTCGCCGGAGCTTCAATAGGTAACTGACGGGTGCCAGAATCTGTCATGTGCGACGCATGCAGAGGTTATTGTTTGCATGATGCTACAGTTATTACATGTTCTCCCCAGTATGTGAATCCCTGCCAAAGGGATCACCGAGTTATGTCCCCTCTGGCCTCCACCCTTCAGCCGGGAACACCTCGGACTTACTGCCTCGAGCTTGGAATAACTGTTATCACAAGATATTTTTATGAGAACAGGTTTGATCTTTATGTAAAGCCCATAAATGAGATTCATCTGTGGTGGTGGAGGGGAAAGAAAAAAAAAATCTGTTTTTGCAGAGAAAACCTGATTCATATGCTGCACTTCTTCTAAGCCTGTTGGGAGTGACCATTTATAACAATGATCACTTAAATGTCAAGCCCAGTGTTATGAAATGAAACTCATCCTTGTTTTATGTAATTCCAGCTGCTTTTTGTTTTCGCAGTAACACTATTCTCTCCTGCTGACATTTCTTAACACCACTTTTCATCACCAAGACCACCATGAAAAACAGGATGCAAAAAGTCTCAGATCTTCTCATGCCTTCATTAAAACAAGACAAATGATGAACCATACATCACTTTTAAATACATTTACATAAGCTGATCATGTCAGAAATCAGACTTATAACGTACTGTTGCCATTCTTGCTGCCCGATCGTACCGGGCAGCAAGAGGAGCATCAGGCGCCTGTGATGGAGGTGTAAAGCTTTTAAACTCAGCCTGGAAACTACTTGGATACTTGCTGAAACTTTGTTACATAAAAACTGTGAATGGCCTGAATGATGCACTTAAAGCACTGCTGGGACAATCAACCAGGAAGTGCCGCCGGGCTGAAACTGTTGTCTGCGAGCAACAAACTCATGTGATGCCAAAAAAAAGAAAGAAATGGAGACTGATACGCTTTAAAGCTCACACTTTTATTATGTTTTAAAAAGAAATGGATGTAAATACACTGTAATGTCACTTTTAAATAGCCTTTATATATGCCTTTTGAAAAAAAATGTTGATCTTCAGGAGGTCTGGAAATGTTCAAATTTACTGTATTTGTATTTCCTGTAAATGGGCGGCTGTGGCTCAGGTGGTAGAGCGGTTGTCCTCTGACCGTAAGGCTGGTGGTTCGATCCCCGCTCCCTCCACAGTTGAAGTGTCCGTGGGCAAGACACTGAACCCGAAGTTGCTCCCAAGGGCAGGCAGCACCTTGCATGGCAGCTTTGTTGCCATTGGTGTATGAATGTGTGCGTGAATGGGTGAATGAGAAACACAACGTAAAGCGCTTTGAGTGCAGCAAAGGTAGAAAAGCGCTATATAAGTGCAGACCATTTACCGTTTACCATTCATGGAGCCAATAGCATGACTAAAATACACATGTACTGTAAATGTATGGTTGGTAATTAATGTACAAATGACTTATAGTGGTAGAATTCTGTCATTTGTTTGCAAAATTACACTTACAACTGTCTGTGAAGATTCTCAGTCATCCAGGTCATGGTTGTAGTTTAATCGTAACAACTGGACTTGCTTGAGCTGATGAAGCCTCTTGGATGAGAGGTGAAACATCTTCAAAAAAACTCAAGCAAGTCCAGTTGTTACGATAAAACTACGACAATACAGTTAGAATTATTAGTAGCTTACAACTGACGTTGATTAGCTGTTGTGCCCCTCCATGTATGAATTATTTAAGTGTTATTAAGTGTTTTAATGCTCCCAAACTGGGCTTAAAACTTGTCAAATTACATTTTTTTTTTTTTAGCATCAATCATTTTGAACGAGATGTCCAACAGCACACCAAGAGTTTAAAATGTACTTTAAGGTAAAATACTAC